GTAACAAACATAGTAAAGCATCTTACGTTAATATGTTCAGACCTGTCGTAGGAAATGTTTGTATTTATATTCTTATAATTCCTTTGATAAAATTTAATCAATTACATGAATAAAAGAATTACTTATATGATCATGAAGTGTAGTCGCACTTCGAAAAGCTTGGGACTTGGCTTTTATATAATCAAGAATGGATTGGGACACACAAATTGATAATAGTGTCATGTTTTATTTTACTAGATGGTTTCTTAGAATTTGTGTTTATGCTATCTCCAATCATTTAAATGGTTTGCCGAGTTCAATCCTTAGGACACCTTGATTCTCACATATTTGAAATGTGTAATATACAAATACGAAAATTCAATCGATTCAACATTTTATTTATAAATAAATTTGTTATATTGTATTCTTGTTTGTGTATACTCATGCTTACACGAAAATAGGGGGATGATTGTTGGTGATTTTAGTATCAACAAGCCATTTTGGTGTAATCAAATTTGCAAGATTGCCAATGGAGTTAAAAATTTGATTTTATATAAGTTGAGAGGCACGAAGTGCACATTATATAAGACGAAATTGTTCTTGACTGTTCGGTTTGAGCCTTCTTTTGACATCATCAATTATTTGATTTGGACATAAATCTTCCTGTAACTTCTAGCAGCTTCCCATAACGGTCATACTTCTCTAATTTGGATGTAATGGGTATTTATACTCATTAACAAACACATTTTGGTTAGAACGAAGAATACATGTATTCTATAATCCTCCAGTTTTCATGACTTTCTTTTTGTGTATATAATCAAAGTTGTTCCTTGTAGAATTGTCTCCATAATTTGAATTTCGTGGAAACCCATACAGAAAAGTGAAATATAAAATTTGGACAATGATTTATATGATCTTATGAAAATCAAATTTTCTTTTGGTGATCCCAAAAACCACATTGTTCAAAATAAACACCAACAAAAATTGATAACGATTGACTTCCAACTGAGTGGACCTTGATCTTTGAGGTATCGAACTTCATTCTGTCAGGTGCCCTATCTACAATGGAGACATTGAGTGTGACTCATCTTTTTATCTTGTGTTCTACAACTAACTCTTTTTAGGATAATATATGTGGATGGTGGCATATTGACCGTTTAGTCATTTGACATCAACTCGATCCCTCTTAGCGATGGTCGAATCGTTTTGTGTGAAACACTTTCACATATTATACATCAACATGGTCGTTAAAGTTTAGTTTTGAATTATATGTAAATTTTATAACGGGGTTTGTTTCAAGCCAAGAGACCTTGATACCTTTTCAAGAATGATGACAAGCATAAAATTGTTTTTTTTATGGATATTTAGCATGTGTAAAATTAATTTCTTTCTTGAACATGGTTTGACCGGGTGTCAAAGCATTTGATGACGGCTTCTTTTATCCCTTAGCTATATATCATTTCTTTTTTCTTTGCTTTTTGGTAGTTTAATAAGATTGTTGCTTTTTTGTTTGTTTACAAATAATCAATTATTATTCTACATAACTTCATGTTACACGAGGGAAGATCAGTGGTTATGTATTCAAATTTAGACTTTTGTTATATAAGGTTATTGTTCAATATTTATTGTTTATAATCATGTTCACCATTACCTTGTAATTCTTTATCACTAACATTTGTATAAACACTACCGGTTCTTTGACTTAGCGGTATCAAGGTATTTGAAAATGTATTCCTCCTCTAAGAGGTTGAAAGTTCTAGGATTAGGATTTAAAGTTGTGTGTTATCCATTCAAAAATAATAAATAAATAAAACTAATATCATATAAACATAACCTGACATAACATTCACCATTTCACAAAAGATTATGCATCAATGATCAATGTTTTGAAACCATGCTAGTTCAACCTGAGTCAGAAATAGGTAAGAACTCGTTCAACCCGTTCTCTTCACTACTAGGTCACAGTCAAACCGGTCCTACCAACCGAATCAGCCCGGGTTTTAAGATATCGCTTAGGATGACTGCGTAAAACAAATATTTTTTTGTTGATAAACTTAAACAATATTTTGTATACATGTATGTTGTTCGATTAGCGGTTCTTAATAAATCAAATATTTATATTTTTGATAACCATATCCTCTCTAATAAATAAAAGTTTTTTTTTCCACATGTCATCTTTTCCTTCATTTTGACAATTGTCATTTTGTGAGATTTTTAAATTTTTTATTTTCCACTTGTCATTTTTTAGGAATTTCTATTTTCTTAAAATAAAATTCCATTTTCTTAAAATTTTTATTTTCCACTTGTCATTTTTTAGGAATACTCCAAACGATTTAATTTTTTTGCAAATGTTTTAAAATATTACATTTTGTTATGTAAAGTATTACTTTATAAAATATTTCATGTTATATATTGATATTAAATTTTTATTTTTAATAAACCCGTGTAATACACGGATGTCACACCTAGTACTAATAATATAGATACGAGACAAAATGATTGAGTCAAACCTATTACCGTCCATGTTTTTGTTCTTATTGTTTCTCGTTAATTTTGAGATATATATACAGCAAAGATATACATTGTTACCATAAATTCACACATAAAATAAATATAATAGTACGGACATTGTTTGCCAATCATTACTTATGAATTATACGTCTGGATCACACTAATAATAATAATTCTTCGCGTAAGGACATTCTTAATTACAATTATAAATTCATTAAAGTAATAAAATGTGCTTCTTTCACAAAAAAATCAAACCATGATACTTATATATATGTAACGACAGACACTTTCCCTTGTTTTGCTCTTTGTTTTGTCCCCTTCTTAAGTTAACCAAATACCCTAATATTTTTCTATTATCAGGATTATTTATAAAAAATATATATAATACTGCTTAAAGGAAAATAATATTTATATTTTATAAAAGCAGAATACTTGTATAAAATTCTATATATAATAATGAAAAGGGTTAATATCAGAAAAAAAATAAACCGCATTTTTATTTTATTTCATAAAAAGATACCTTGCATTTTTTTTATTTTTTTTATTTAACAATTTTAGTAGATTTTCCGGTAATCTTGGTGATAAATAATATTTTAAAGAAAAACCATTATTTTTTTCCAAATACCCTCACTTTTGTCAATTTTTTTCGGAAAATAAAAATTGAGGGTCTTTTTTCCAAAAAGACTGATGTATTTTCCGAAAAAAAATTTATCTAAACTAGAAGATTACGGTGAACCTATTAAATGGTCAAATAAAAAATAAAATAAAATTAAGACTCAATCAGATAAAAAACCCAATATATAAATTATTTTATAATATTAACACTAATAATAATTTAAAAACTGAATATGATTGTCAATCTGGAAAGCTAAAGCTTTATAATTTCCTAACTCTAGTAAAATCTGTTCTATCTAGCCTCCCAACTTATTACATGTGTCATTGTTCAAAGCACCACAGGGCGTAATCGACACCCTCGAAAAAATAAGACGAAAATTCCTTTGGGGCAGAGATGATGGCAAGTCAAAGATTCATTGGGTTGATTGGTCCAAAATAACAGCATCTAAAAAAGACGGAGGCCTTGGTGTTGGCACTTTAAAAGCTCAAAATATAGCCCTTATCACCAAATGGTGGTGGAGGCTATTGAATGAAGAAGGCAATTTATAGAGGGAAGTAATTGTAAGTATTCATAATCTTCAAAGGAAACCAGCAACTTACATTGCAAGGAAATCATCCACTGGTGTTTGGCGTAACATCCACAAAGTGATCGCACACATTGATGACCTCAACCTTGACCGTAACGAGTTTTTCAAACTCATTCCGGGGTCTGGGGTGAATATCCTATTTTGGAAAGATACTTGGTGTGGTAATCTTCCGTTTCAGGCCCGATTTCCAAACTTATATAATCTAGAAAAAGTTAAAGGTTGTTACCTTGAAGATCGCCTCTCAGCATCTGGCTTTAGTTGGATGTGGAAACATAAACCAAATGACTCTATTTTATTAACAGAGCTGCTAAATCTATACTCATCCATCGGTTCAATGGAAGTGTCATCCCAATTCTCAATCGGGTTTCGTTTTATGTCAACCCTAGATGGTCGATACAATGTCAACAAAATGAGGAGGACTATCGATTCCAAACTTGTCTTGTACAAAGGTACTGGGGTGCCTTGGCCCAATACGGTTCCATTAAAAGTCTGGTGTTTTATATGGCGAGCCTCCTTGTCTAGAATCTCAGTGGCTTCTGTTATCAGAAAGAGGTGTTCAGATCCTCAACCTTACATGCCATCTATGCAGTCAAGCACCAGAAACTGTCAATCATCTTCTGCTAGACTGTGACTTCACTAAAGGAGTCTATTAATGGGTGCTTAAATGGTGTGGGGTTAAAACTCAACAGCTTACTTCACCTCGTGAAGTCATCGACTTCGCAGCCTCGTGGGGTAATTGTCCAAGAAAAAGAGGAATCTTCATTTCAATTTTATATTGTCTTTGGTGGAATGTCTGGACCGCAAGGAATGAGAAAATTTACAAGGATTTAAGACTTTTGTCCACAAAAGTAGCTGACAATGTTCTATCTTTATCATATCTATGGTGCAAACACAAGAGCAAGGCGGGTTGCGGCAGTTGGACAGACTGGTGTTGCTCTCCTTTTTCTCATCTTTAAAATTCTATCATGTAACTGTTTATGTTTTTGCTTCGTTACCCTTACTTGTACTTAAGCCCACGTCTTAGTTGTTTGCTAACTGTGGCTGCTTGTTCTTTTCCTCTTATATATATTTATATTGCATTTGTCGTTTAAAAAAAAAAAAAAAAAAAAAAAAAAAATTAATTTGAAATTATCTTAATCCCAGAAATAGAAAAATATTAATTAAGTTATTCGCATTTAGCCATTTTCCAAGTCCCTTCCCACCATCTACGGAATCCTCACCAATAAAGATCATTAGGGTATTATAAAATTCCAACTTTACCCTTCCACTTTCCCAGAAAGTCAACCTCACCCCGTTTTGAAATCTTCAATGAATAAATACCCACGAAGACCAGATGACTACAACCAACTTCTATCATCACCATCTACCTCCGACGACAAACTGATCAGAAAATCCAAAATGGTTCATGTGAGTTACAACAGAGTTGGCCGGAGATATTATGCAACCAGAGGTTTCCGGCTAAACGTCAAGAGATTTTACGTTCAACGTCTACGCCCAAAGTTCTTTAATTTCTTCAAGAATCTAATACGTTCATGGAGGTCGAGTTCTTCTGCTTTGTATGAGAAGTGTTCAACGAGAGGTGGAGGCCAATTAAACCTTGTCGCGAAGGAGAACGCGTATCGTTTAAGATCGTTTGGGAGGTCGAATTCTTTCTACTCGGAAGCCATTGAAGACTGTTTGGAGTTTATAAAGCGTTCGTCTGTTTCTTCTGATGATAAACCGGAATTATAGGCTTACGAGATATGAGGTTTGAAGATTACCAGAGGTTTGAAGATAACAAGAGATTTTTCTTCTTCTTCTTTTGTAAATTAACATTTTTCTCTCATTATAATATTAGGTTTTTTTTTCCTTTTAATTTTATTCTGATTATCAATTGATTAGTTGTTTGCATTACAATAATTTGCATTTAAAATAAATGTATTTTATTTTTGTTAAAAATGGTTTAAGACATCCCACTAAACCACTACCCAAAAGGTTTGACCAACTTTTCACAAAGAGGTAAATTTGGTCAGCTTTTAACAAAGAGGTAAATTTAGGAAAAAAAAATTTAGAGCTTTTAGTTTTTATGGATAAATAAAAAAAGTTCTTAGATTTTCGGAACATTTTTTTAATCAAAAAATTCAAGAATTTAAAATTTACTTTAGAAAGTTTTTTGAGATCCTTTAGTTTATAATATTGGGACTTTCTAAGAAAACCCCTTTTAATATTTATAATATTTATATTTTGGATGTGTTTAATAAAACTATTTGGAATTTAAAGTTGTAAGCTATAACTTTCATTTGTGCAGAATTGTTCGACAAAATTAGAGTTGTTAAGTTTTAAAATGTGTAAAATTAGGAAAAAACAAAATAAAAACAAAACAGGTTTTCAAAGTTTTTGGATTTAAAGTTTTTTATTTAAAATAAAGGGTAAAAAATTTTCAAAGTTTTTGGATTTAAAGTTTTCTCTTTCTGCAGCCGAAAAAAAACTTTATTATTAATTTGAATTTTTTTCTTAAAAGCTACACGTCTTTATGTTATTTTATATTTTCAAAAGTTTAACATTACTTTTACCTAATTAAGGTTTTGGTATAAACAAAAACTCCAGCATTCAAATTATAACCAGTTTTCAGAAACATATCCTTCATTCCCCGCACACATGTATGTATTTGTAGAATTAAGAATATTGTAAAAAGTTGGTTTGAATTTTTGCCTAGTGGTTTAGTAGGATGTGTCTTAAACCATTTTTAACAAAAAATAAAATAAATTAGTTTTAAAATGCTAATTACTATACTATTAAGAGGTTAAATTCAAAGTAATCATATTTGTTTAGGACACCAATGGGTAATGGGTTTGGTTACCATACGGTGAGTCGTGGAGCTACTAGAGGGATAGGTGGTTGTTGAGCCCCAAATCTATCTATTTTAATTTGATTAAAAGTCCACAACTAGCTAAATCTTATTATATTTAAAGTCTACTGTTTCGTTTTAAATCTCATTTATGATAAAATTGATATCTTTGTTAGATATGGTAGATTCTAATGGGGGTACAAAAAGATAATTCCCACTTATTCTAAAACTTTGGTTTCTCCCTAGATAAATCTCAAAGTTAGAGGTGTAGAAAGTGGTCCTTTAAGCCGAGCCATTTCCGTTTTTTCCCTCGATGTTCAAAACCAGCTTGGGTGAAAAGTTATTCTTTTTGGAGGAAAAAAAAAATTGAACCTATAGGATCAGTTTGTGTGAAACCGGTTTGAATAAATATTTGTGTTGGTGTTTTTCTGTATTTTAATTGTTTTAAAGCGTTTCTTGTACATTGGAGATGTAAAAGGATGAAAATCGGTCTTGGTAACCTTCAAAAACTTGTATCAACAACAATTTCAAAATTTAATAGATGTGAACAACATATTTATAATATATGAAACTATTTTTTATAGGTTTGAAAACCTTTTTCTCAAACAGGTTTCAAGGTTCCAACCATCCATCTGCCAATCCAATACCAAACCACAGGATCCCTTCAAACCGAGTCGGAAAACCAGTTTTTTTATGCACCTCAACACAATGCTACGTTTTATTTGCAAAGAGGGATAGCACATTTGGCCCGATAGGCTGATAGCCTGATAGTGATTTTGTCTTTATCAATGTAACATATACAAGTTGATGCATTTTGGAGTACCTTAAACTTTTTGTTTATTAATCCAAACGTTTAGTGATTAGCTCCAAATTACTAACACTTATGCAATTCAAGGAATTTGTACAGTTTTTTTTTTTTTTTTTTTTTTTTTTTTTTTAATGTATTCGACTATAAGTAAGCTGATGAATAAAAAAAAACTACCCAGTTAACAATTTAACATGCCAAGCTAGATCCATGGTCAAGATGTCTTGCCTAGGCCCAATTTGGATGGGCCTGTACGTTTTGTTTTGAGACTAAACCCCAAAATTAAAGATATGGTGCTTTTTATGCATGATATATAGAATATAGATGTAGAGTTGGGCAAGAAAACTAGATTGGAAATGGAACCCGCTTTCTGAACAGGAATGGCGTTGAAACCGGTTTGATAGGAACTGGTCCAGTTTAGCGATCTGTGGTTTATCTCGGTTAGGAGATATAACGGTTTATTTGGAAGAAAGTGATTTTTAAACCAGTTCGGGCATCAGATTTTGAAATCAGTTCGTAGGTTGCAAAATGATTTTTTTTCCCGATGTGTTAGTTTTTATCATACCACTTAAAAATGCTTTCTTATCTCTTAAAACACATTCTCGCTCGCTACTCACTAGCTTTCTTTACTTCTCTTTGCAAGCACTGGCATCCCAATATAGTTAATCACAATCTTCCATTGGTGTTGGACTTTATCAAACAATTTAACAATTATGAAAGTTGTGCCAAGAAAATGAACCCCATCACGTTGACAAAATTACAACGCGTGTGAAATTTTGAGTGATCTAAAGAAAGCTCGATGCAAAAAATGTGGTGCCTTCTCGCACTAGAAACTCTTGATATATCTTAAATAATGTAACGACGTGAATGTCATCGGTGAAGTTTGAAATGGGACATATCTTTTTTTTTTGAACGACAAATACAAATATATACTAAACTACTCATAAATTATTCCACCTATGTCCACAGTGGGACTTGAACCCTCGACCTCAAGGAGGGAGGGCAATACCGAATACCGCTGGGCTAGAAGTCATTTAATATATCTACTTGATGGAATTCACATGTAATATGTTTGAAAGTGCTTTATGATAAAATATACTTTAAGGTTGTGCCATATCCCGAGTCTAGTTGGTTACTTCTCAAACTATTAACGAAAATGCGCGTAGTATTTAAACAAACATCTACTTATTAACATTCAATTTCAAACCATTTTTTCTTAATATTCTCAAAATTAAACAAGTTTGAAATGAAAAACAAAATGTTTTGATGAAATTATCAAAACAATGGAAGATAAAATTGTAAAATAATTTAAAGAAATACCTCTCGTTATCAGTTGTATCTTCATACTAAATCAATGATAAATGTTGTTGGGTTGAAAATTTACTTGAAAATATATCTCATGATTTGGGTTATTCAAAGAAGACATAAATTTTGCATCAAACGCACAAAGTTAAATATAACAATACTTTCAAAATTATTTGAATGTTGTGTGACAAATATGATTCAACAAATATACACGAGTCAATAGAAATGTGGAGGCACCCGATAGCTTCGATAATAGTAAAGAATTAGACTATACAATACTTGGGAAAATGAAACAACTAAACAGGCACAAAGTAGCGCCCCTAGCAGTAGGCTCCGATGTATATCATAATCGATTTTTTTAGCACATATAACTCTACAATTTGAAATTTTGGATACTTTGTTTTGGTTGAAAGAAAATAAAACTTAATTTTCGTTTGTAGCCACTATGACCCATGATCTACTAACCGTCTAAACTATTACATAGCTTAAAAATCTGATTTGTATTGTTAATGGTAGAGTAATATGTCCGAGAAGAACAAACCTCACCCTTATATCCTTGGAAGTATGCATTTGCTTGAAGACTACTTAGGTCCCGTTTGATAGTTGTTGACTGAGAAAGTGCTGAGCGGGAAATGTCTGTCTGTGTAATAAATTCTGACGGAGTAAGAAACCATGTTGTTTGACCGTACATCTGACTGAATGTGCTAAAAAAATGAAAAATGACAATTTTACCATGCTGCTTTATAAGTTGCTGAATAATTATACAAACATACAAATTGTCATACAAAATGTAAATTAAACATAAATCACAACTTTATCATCACAAATGTATAAATTTCAGGTATGTATGAATCCAACAACACAATCAATTGAACGGAAAAATTGGCTATGGAGAAGAAGTCGTGTATTAGCCGATCATATAATTAGATACATATATTAGGATACATATTTCCTTATACGTGGGTGTATCTGTTTGTATCCTATTATATGATCGGCTTATAGTGTCAACATTCACCAAACATGAACAGAAAAATCAGAAAATTCGAAGCAAGAAATTGTACCTAATGAGAAGAGGCAGAAGGTGTCGAAAGAGGAGAATAATTTAGGCTATGAAGGCGCTGAAAGAAGAGCGGTAGGTTACCATCTTCATGCCGAGCCAGATTTCACATTCCGCGCACAAAATTGGTTATCAAACAGCTTTCGCTGACCACGTCAGCCAAAAATGTGTGACCTAACTTGGTCACACGCATATCAAACAGGGCCTTAGATGATGTGAAATTAATGCAAAATATTTCACCATTAATTAAAGGCGAAACTGCGAAGGTTGAACAAATACATGAGGAAGAAATAACTTTGAGATTGTCAGACCCATTTACTACAAACCAACTTGCCTAGGAAGCACAAATAAAACGTGTTGACGATGACTAAACTCTAAATGAATACGATTAATAAGTGACTATGTTTTGTTTTGGTTTTTACTTTTCGGAGTAAAAGATGTACTGCTAGTTTTTTTTTTTTTTTTTAATTAAAAAATATGTAAGCTTTTTCTAAACCAGTTTCATAAAATCCGGTTTCTAACGGATCCTATCCGGTCCATATGGTCTTTAACCATTTCTAATATATCTACTCATTAGACATAAACTGAAACAAAAGTTAAATGTTATTGCTGCTAAACTTTCTGCCGCTTTAGCACAATATGAAAGGGAAAATGCAACCAAAAAGCATATAAACATGTCTTGAACCAAGCATGTGTAGATTTGATAGATGAAAGGATAAAGCCCTTGGAAAGAAAAT